CTGTCGACTATAGATGGTGGCTAGAAATTGTTGGTCGTTATTCTCCGACCCACTAACTGAGTGAGTAAAGAACCCACTGAGAGAGCCGAAGTTACTGACGATGTCGAGGGCTCGCGCTGCTGAACAGGATTAAGCAACCGTTCAGCGTTCTCAGGTATCAACTGCTCTCCAGCTGATGACTGTTTCGGGTGGACGCCACCTCGCAAAAATGAATCCAGACAAAGGCCAAAGTAAGATGCAACTTAAGGAACTTATAAAAAGTTGCTGAGTTTACAAGCAAAACGCAGTACGCCCGTTACCACCACTATGAAAAATAATTAAGCTTATATGTGAAAACGTAAACTGAGACAGTGTATATCCAGAAAAGAAATTAGGAACCGAATGCTCGAAATGATGTGGGCCAATAAGCTGAAAATGAATAAACGGTTTCTGAAGCTTTCGGGGCCATACATATACTTTTTTTGAAGGGTCTGATAAATTTTGAGGGCTGTGTGCAGGTAGAAAGTCAAAGGAATGAGAAACATAAAAGTTAAGTGCATCATCAGTCAATGCGACGCTATCAGAGGCACGGTGCTTGAACGTAACGTTCAGGCCAACAGCTTCGTCTTTCGGTCATAGCGCTTCGAGCAACTTGTCGGTTGTTTATGACTCTGTAGGTATATGCCCTCACCACTTTCAGTCTGCCAAAGCGTTTGAGAGTATTAATGCAGCGTCACCCGCTTCTCCAGAATCAGTAGCCTAGGGTTCAACGAGATTTGACACTCATGCTGGTCCTCATAGTTTCATCGGACTCACTAAGCTGAAGGCACATGCCCAAGCACCCGCCCCATTTGAGATGCCTTCCCGTTACTTTGCACTGGTCGTAATCGACTAGGAAAAAAGTACTCTGTTTTGAAAGAATTTCATGTACTGAACCAGAAATATGCAGCATTCAAGTAAGACACCGAATGAAAGCACTGGCCGAAGAGCGTAGGGCCCTTGACAGTTTGTCCAAAACACAAAGCCTTTGCAGCATCCTGCGAGAGCGAAAAGATGCGAAAGGCTTTTCAGAAAATCATTCACACTATAAGGGTACAGGCTACCATGATCTACAGGTGATTTGTGAATTTCTCAGTGATAGGTTTCTGAATGGTACTGATATCCCCCTAGCCCCAGACATCGAGATAGCCACTGCAAGCAGTAGTACGACGGGTAGCATAGAATTCAGCGTGAGTATCATTAGCGATGCGTTTAAAACCCTGAAGGTAAATGTTAGCTGAGGGACAGATGCAACGTCGCCAATAATTCACAGAAAGGCTGGCACGGTATAGCAGTTTTATTGCTCAAAATATTTACCCTCTCAGTAGATCCTGGGATACATTCTGATAAATGGAAAACTACTTGTATATTACCAAAACATAAGTCAGGAGCCGAGACCGCGGTTGGCAATTACAGACCAATTAATATAACCCCGTCATCTCAAGGATTATGGAAAAGGTGATTAAAAACCAAATGTCTGATTACCTGCTGGAATCTCACTCGTCACAATATAGCTCCCTGAAAAGAAGATCCTCCACTACAAACCTGTTCGATTTTTTAACGGGGTCACTAGAAAAAGGGGTTAGAAAAACCCAGTGATGATACTTTACTTCAACATCACTAAAGCTTTCCACAGGGTCCCACACAACTTGCATATCAATAAGCTAAGATCCATTGGGATCTGTAATCCACTGTGGGAATGGTTAAAATCCTTTCTCTGCAACCCTTACCGAATAAAAAAAGCGAGTTCAACTGCCTCAAATCCTAAGCCAATAACCAGTGGAGTTGTCCAGGGCAACATCTTAGGTCCACTCCTCTCCATAACATACATCAATAGCGTATGTGAGTGTTTCAAGGTAGGCAAGCCATTCTTATATGCAGGTGACCTAAAAGTTGTATACACGCCTAAGCAGTGACTCATCCCCGACTATTAGCTCCACGCAAGAGGAACTAAGATATGTTAGCAAATGGTCCAACACCTGGCGACTCGAATTTAACGCGGAAAAATGAGGCTGGATATGCATACGTGACTACGCACTCAAGCAAAACTTAATGATAACCGGGCATTCAAACTCAAAACTGTAGTCCATACAAGACTTAGGGCTCCGATATTCTAACAACCTGACCTTTCTGAGCACACATGCACACAGGTGTCGAAACCACGCAAACTTGTGGGTTTCTTATTAAGGAAATTTTATACTACCGAATCTAGAAGTGTCGTGTATAGAATATGTGTCCGACCACTGCTCGAATGCTGTTCATTTATCTACAGCAGTATACGGGTTACGGATAGACTGAAAGTCAAAGGAGGGCAGAGATACTCTACGATGAGAATACCCGATACGAATAAGGACGTAATATATGCCACCAGGTGCAACATCTTAGGACTTGAACCACCATAAAAATGAAGGCTCACACTGAACTTGATACTGTTTTATAAGCTCCTTACAAGGCTAACATAAACAAAACTACATACAGATTAAGAAACGTGACTGCAACAGTAGCAATTGAGGATCTCGGAACAGTCGCTAGGGCGAACTTCTTCGGGATAAAACATGCTCAGATGTAGAACAATTCACCCGGGGAAGCACGTGAAATGAACACTATGACTAGGTTTATAGGGCAGCTTAGCTCCCCGCCGCAGGGTAGTGCCATAAAAAGCACCACCAATACTACTACTAAAACTACAGACATATTAGGCTCTCCCAAGGTATGAACAATTTCAAACCTAGAAGGTGCAGAGACTACACCTGCCTTGTTGATTTTTCTACCAAGATTTCAGACGGTTGCAACATGAAGATATCATTTGACTATGAAGAAGCCGGACTATGATGAAAACTTACTAAATTATCTGGAAATCTGAACGCCGAGCGAGCAAGGGATTTAACTCGAATCCTCGAGGACCCACATCATCAGGATAACCTTTTATGTTGACAACAGGACGCAGATGGGGAATGTACGTCAATAATTCTCTCCATTCCACTGTTTTGCGAAGCAATGAAACTGCGCTGCCATGAAAATTATTGTCCATTAAGTAACAATTACGAATCCCTTTCACTCACTTGCCTCTCTTACCACATGAACATTTATCAGTCCTCCAATCACTCAGGCCTGAAATGGATGTGTTAGAGTGAAGAGGATTATGGGCAGTGTGGTGCATCCCATCCATATCCCCTGTGACCCTCGCGTATCGTACTAGATGCAGCTTATGAGAAACCAGGCGATCTTGGTAAAAATTGTACCGGAACCCTGCTACTTTCTTAGTGACTCTTCTCTGGACCCCATCTCGGATGGCCATGTCCCTCCTCAAGCGTAGGGACATCACAAGCGAACTTTATTCGAGGCGAGGACGAACATAGATCCCACACACTGAGTTGAAAAGGGCTGCAGCTAGACTCGATAAAGTTCACAAAAGCAACCACATGACCCCACAGGCCCTGCCGGCTTCAAGGCGAAAATGGACAAAAGCTCCAGATATGTCGCCTCAAGCTACTTCAGGATCTTGTCTCGTGTTTGAGTGACGGACATTTACTTCGTCCAGAGAATGAGGATAGGAACCACTTTTATATCTGTCAACAGTTACTTCTCAGAGTTGAGAGGGAGCAGGTTTTCTTCAGTCCAGTTCAAGGCTTTGGAAAGCTCCCATTGGAGGGCCGAAATATCCCTTGGCTCCTGCACTTTCCCCCAGGACATCGGCACATAATAGGGAATGATAACTAAGGGATTCTGCAAGTCAACGATAAAAGCGAGAAACACTAGTGGACCCATAAAAGAACCCTGAGGCAAACCACTCAGCATCGGCAGCCAGTTAGATAGGAGGAGCCAAATCTGACTGCAGCCTACTGTGAATGTGATCTCTCAAGTAAATTAGTATTTTTCTCATGTGCATCCTTAAGCTGAAGTTTCTGACACGGAACATTACAACCTACCCTGTCAGTATCCTTAAAAAGTCAAACAAACCAGTATTAATGGACGTTTTCTGCTCAAGAGAGGAAAATTGGCTATTCCAAGCCATTCTAAAGCGTAGATATATGTTTATTCAGAGAGAAACTGAACTGCGACACAGTAAGTATCCCAAATTTAACTGAATTTAACCAAACGCGCTGTCCTTTTTCAAAGGGTGCCCCTCGAGGTATTGTCGTAGTTTGTGTTGACACGTGAAATGGGCTTTCGCAGTTTGTAAGCAGAATAAGCCAGGGTAACCGACTGGTATCGATTCACTTCAATTTCTTCCGCCGAGTTTCACTGATCACTTTTCACTGCTACTATCGTTATGCATGTGATTCAATCATCTACACCCGTATGGGACGTCTTACCTCTCGAGTTGCCGACTGATAATTGGTAAAATTTCCATTTCGACTGAAGTATTCCCCGCTGTGTACCTTCCTGTTGTTTTTCTCGTCTCATGATTTCGGCCCTTCACACGTGTTTGTCGGTTGTATTTCTACCACTGTCTTCTGTCTTCTCCAATCCTTTCTGTAGTTCCTCTTTTTGCTGTATCTCCCCTCCTCATCTAGTTTCCTTGTTTGTCTGCTAGGTTCTCCTGTCGTTCTTTTACGACAAACCTGAGGGGGAGTCTGCTGGCAGGACATGTGGAGATCCCATCTGCATCACAATCCCAGGGAGCATCATCCATCGTACAAGTTTAATTGACATCATTCAACGACTCTGCTTTTACCTCAGCTACAGCTGATAAGTAGCTGAATCTATTGCATCAGGATCCACACACATTCTAGGACCATCCCCCAGAATAGAGCATTAAACTGGAAGACACCAAGTGGTTTAGGTGAGTGGACAAAAAAGATATTGAATTTCGAGAGAACCAGCCTAAGAGAAGATTGAGCAGAAACTTCCGATTCCAAAGAATCATTCGTCCCTACAGACTTACCGGGAAATGTAACAAAAACGGTAATGAGAATGTCATTTCCGAAATCACTTAAGTGACATTTAAGAGCGCAGAACATTTTCCATTGTTTTAACAAGCAACATCCCAAGGCCCTGATACACTCACTGCTGTCGCGCTAAAATGTCACGATGAGGAATGTAAGTGTGATGTAGAGGCACAGGGTTTACTCTTGTATTGCTGTGTCAGAAAAGTAAAGAGACTAATGCACGTCTGCGTTCTGTACTTATTAATGCCTATTATGCTAAAGATCCCATTCTGGTTTAGAACAAGTAGAAATCAGAGTAACGTAACTTGCAATTCTTTCAATTACTGTTGAATACTTATGCAACATGAGAGTTTGTCTTGAAGTTTAAGTTCTCCTGTTCTACTTATGTGTCCCTTAATCTTGGCATTGAACTAGGTAAAAGAACTGCTCTTACGTGGTAGCTACCACATAAAAACTTCAGGGACTGCAGAACGGTCTGTAATAAATTTAGGGCTATCCTGGTAAAGCTTTTTAGCTTAGATTCATCTCTGAGTTGCAGGAGTTGACCCTTCAGTTTATGTCAGCTGGGAGGTACTTTGATGTGACGTCAGTTCGGCTGAAGGTGCTTTTGAAGCGTGACGCATGCGTAATCGCTGTCCTGTTGTCATACTATGTTGTATGAAGCGGGTTCAGTTTGCTGATGGGTTACAGACTCCCAGGCTGAAATATATCACTAATGTGTTCAGTCTGACTATTGGTCGGCCGTACAGAGAAAGGTAAACTTCCTGGTATAGGTCTGCGTAGGTACAGATACCAGTTGTTGGATACTGGTTGAAATGGTTCAAAATCGATCCCACAGGTGAAGATATATCCACTAACTATTATCAAAGCAACCGTCACGCTGAGGTCAGTATTTACGCATTCATCTCTTGGTTTACTACTTTTGATCGCGTTCGGTTTTGTTACTTCGTCTTTCACCTTAGTGCTTTCTCGTTTAATGGACTAATATAAGGTTCGACCCCGCCCGGTAGCTGATACCTTGACGTGGTGGTCGGACTTAGATATTACAACGACCTATGCTGGTAGAATGCTTGTTTCATCTCAGTCCTACCATGCCAGAAATGTCTGTTGGGTGGTGGTTGGACAGAGCAGTTAACATTACAATGGAAATTGCTACACTATGTTAGGTATCTAGGAGTGAAGTCTCGCTGCTACTAGCTGGGTGAGGTCTGACAGCAGTAAGGAGTCCCCCTAAACGACCAGCAGTGCCACGCCGATACTACCTTCCCAACGAGAAGGGGGATTATAAAAGGTCGGCTTCTAAAATACTACACAAAAGGCCATGGGTGACAGACCTCAAGTAGATGTCTCATGAGCCCAGTGGTCACATATATTTTTCTCTTTCAGTTACCTTAAGAATAAATAGCCTTCCGCGGTGTGGGCAGCCGGGAAGTGTCGACCCCCTACACGCTTTTAGTAGCACACAAGACCCAATCAAACATAACCGGTCCTCGTCAACTCTGTCTCCTCCTTTGCCTTCACCTCCTGATACTTATATGAGACCTCTTTTACCTTACCCAACTTCTCACTCTGCAACCATTGACAACGATCAAAGCCATCGGAACCTCATTCCTAGTCTCCTAAGACCCAGCTATCGATTTCATGTGGTAGGTTTCAGCGTCCGAACTCTATCCAAAACGGACAGCAAGCATAGCTCGCAAAAACTCTGGATTCCCTAACCATGGATATACACTGTCTTTGAAGTACGTATACGAGATTGAAGTGCAGTTATTAAGTTGATCTCACCTGGCCATAGTGGAGAATCTTCAAAATTCACTTTAAGCGGATCTGGAGACTCAGTGGCCAGCTCACATAGACTCGTTGGTGTAGAGCAGAAAGTGCGCTCCACAACTGTCTTCCAGTAAACAGGCATCCATATGCTGTTCGACTGAATGGATCCGTAAGGACCGGGAAAAATCGTGAGACTAGGTGGTCCATGTGTAACCACCTACGCACCCACTGACTGTAGTTTGCACTATGCAAAGGCTAAATTCTGTGAGGAACTGCCAATTTTGCTACAGAAAGCAAAACGTTCAGATGACTCTAACGCTTAATTAGGGAAGTTGCGCCACTTGGGAAGGTACCTTGAGGGCGTTTATGGAATCCCACGCCGAAAAACTGACAATAGCCATCGTGTCTTGCAATTTTGTGTTGACAATCACTTGCTTTCAGCTAGCACAAACTTCAAGCATGAGGAGATACACTGTCTTACATGGTGTCCACGGAAATCAAATGAACGATGAGTATAGATAGATCGTATCGCTATCAGTCAACATTGGCGAGAATCGGTGGACGATTGCCGTTCGTTATAGAGTACCAGTTTGAACACCAATCACACCCTGATATGTCTGCACCTTACCTGTCGCAGGTAACGGGCGGTAGCAAAGCTTGTTTATGAAAGATGAAAACATAAGGGATGAGATAACTAAGCATTCATCTGAACATGACAGTAATGCTAATCAAGAGGAAACCTGGCGCGATACTAAGTCTGCTGTAGAAACAGCTATGAAGACAGTTGGTATCCTGCGCCCAAAGGTTAACAAACGTCATTGGGCTTATTCAATATCATCCAAAGTGATTAATGCGAGAATACTGATTCCAGCTGTCTGTGACCATAATAAGGAGGGAAAGTGACTTAAACGTAAACTGACCAAGAGTTCTCGTTTTGATCGCCAGCAGTGGTGGGTGACGAAAGTGAGACAGACAGAAATGGCATCAGCGTTGGTTAAAACTCGGCAATTATATGGGTTTATTGATGCCACCAAGATGAAGACGATGGTGAGTAAAACCACTACCGAATAGGACTGGACGCTGTTAACCTCCCAGGACAGATGGCTAGAGCGTTGGGCAGAACATTTTGAAGCCGTTTGGGGAGATACAGACTGCCTGGTTAGGTTCCCCGAAACGAAAGGAATCAGTGATTGATGATTCTTGCTAACATGGCTGAAAATCGATCACAATGGCGCAAATGTATTCACTACGTGATATCTAATGCTTGAATATTCACGCTGACCTTTATATTCAAACTGCTTATTCTCTTACACAACTTAGTCTACTGTGATATCACGCTTTTTCTATCCCTCTGTTCTTCGTATACTACTGTGAAGTGTGACAACTTGAGCCGATGCACCTGTGTGCGATGTTCTACGTTGATTTCGTCAGTCAGTCAAATGACTAGAAAATAGCAGCTGGGGAATATCAGATGGCAGGCTTAAGACCACAAAGGTAATATGCCCTTTTCCATTACCATCATCAGTAATCCATAATTAACTGTGAGAAAGCAATTTTGTAGGCTATATTGAAGCAGATAATAGCCAGTAGGAGGAGGTTAGCATATACGAGGATCTAACAAATTAAAAATTCATGAACTGTTTCGGTGCAGTATCAATCTAAAATTGAGGAGAAAAAATTACAAGAAATATGTTTACCTGATTAGCAAATACGTCTGTAATTATCAGTTATCTGGTATCATAGATTTTCATTGAGTGAGATGACTGGGAGATGTGCTGCGCACACCTAGTCACCGTTTATCCGAAGTGGGTTTCGGCTGGAAAAAGGTTGAAAACAGCCAGACTGAAAAATGGTATCAAAACATAAAGCTCGGACTGTTAATCTAAGATAAGCAGGGCAAAGTAAATTTGTAGTGTGGGATCTGCATGAAACCTAGAATCAGTGGTTAAAAATTCCGAGCAATTTGGCTTGCAACCGATCGCAGTGGTGCAGATCCATCCATACTTTATCTTCATATTAATCCTTGTATCACGTTTTGTTGTTCACCGTATATTCTCTCTTTTGTCCCATGGCTTTCGGCGCCTTTTAGTTACACTATTTTCTAGTCTTTCGCCTTGTTGCTTCGTTTCTCGATGTTGGGAGCAGCAATTTAGACAACTATGCGATATCCTATGCTACTACTAACTGACGCAAGTTTAATACACACCTAAACAATTTTACTATGCTTCATAGTAGAGCTGGGATATTGTCTGAGCCACCGTACCCAAACAGGTGACTGCCTTAAGAGGCTAGTGTCCAGGTTTTTGACTTGGAGTCCAGTTCATAAGACTGTGTACCAGGTAAATAACAAAAGCAACAGAAGATGGAAACAGCGAGAAGACTTCAGTTACTTGACTTTCCTATCTGCAGTCTGTGGTGGGACCACCAAATAAACTGTACCGACATAATTACAGTTTAGTTCTTTCATCATCATCATATATAACAGTAAAACTGTTGTTTACTGAATGATGTTTAGAGCACAACCTAATCCCTGTCATCATTCCATTTAGTTAATAGTGCTTTTTCACCGTTGCACGTAATAAAAAACTAGAATGGAATTATACTCTATTGCAGTACCCAATACCAGTGTACAAAATTTGTTCTTCAAATTAATAGATATAAACATCACTACTTTTATGTGTAGATTACTCATCAAAAGGAGGTGAATATTTCGAGGTTGTAAATCTTAATCGTTATAGTGTGACTGGGTCGTGTTTTTGTCATAGGAATACAGCGTGTAACCTGACTCGTGATAACTAGATTGTATCCAGACCAAGATGTGACATCAGTCAGTGAAGCCTAATATGGGCTGATCTGTTCATCATTGGGTGTGGCTTATGTCAAAACGGGAAGATTCTCATTATGAAACTAATCAGAATCACGAATTTTTATATCCACCGTATATATGTCCGTAAACAGCCTATAAGTTGATGTGAATTAAGAATTTGATGTGGTTTTCTGCACAGGTGGTTGTCGAATGTACGGTTCAGTTGTGGGTGCATATGTCTACCTGAAAAGTAAAGTGATGTATTAATTAACGTTTCATCACTTCATCAACGCATTTTTTTGTCAATAAGCCATTGTACCATGAGTCAGATGGTATTAGTGGTGAGTCAGAAGTAGTTTAATAACAGCAATCCCGAGACTTTGAAAACCAGCAGAAATGTTTGCTGTCCTAGCAAGTTTATTTCTGAACAGCACTGAAACTGGATATTAAGTGGCTTATGAAATTATCAATTCATCAATTGCCGACACACATGATTGTATTTTTTTTGTTTGTCTCTGTGTAATAATTTTATAGAAACGGGTTCCTAGTTTGGCTCATCTGGGTAGTGAGGATGTTGGGGAAGAAGCTGAGGTGGACCTACCAGTGGCATGTACATTTACTGATCAAGCTAAGCAACGCGAACTACACCAAAAGCAAATTAACAAAGCAATTATTGAATCACGTTTAAAGACCAAAGCGATTCGAAAGGCTAAACATAATCGACAAAAGCAAGCAGTAAGCAAAGTATACATTAGCTTACCGACTTTTTTTAAAACCAACAGACTCATCAGCTTGAGGAACCAGCTAATCAAGAAATTCGAGTAAGTCTTGTATTTTCGGATATATCAGTTTATTGAAACTTAGTTTTTACCGATTAACGAAGCGAAAAAGTCGAAGGTGAGCTTTTCTGCTTGCTAACCCTTATGTTCGTAATTAGAAAAAAGATTCTTTAGAAGAAGAATTTGACTGTCCGGGATATTTTAGAGTGTCAGATCATGTTCATTACAGTGAACCAGAGGACGATTCATCTGTACAAAATGAACTTTCAAACCTGGATGTGTCAACATCGTACTCACCGAATGGAAGCGAATCGATTTGCGGTAATGGTGAGTTTCTATGTTTGTAATAGTTGTCTGAACCCACAAAGTGGATTTAAATATGACAAACTTAATACTAGTTTATCTAAACTATCATCGCGTCAAGATTTAAGCACCAACAATCTGATCTGTCTGGCAACTAATTCGCCTCTCCCAAAGTTACATAATGGAATCAATCAGTGTGTTGTATACCTGATTCAATGTTTAGGGTTCATTTCTCAGTGATTAATTGTAGCTTATTGGTGTCCTAAATACATCAGTAAAAACTTATTTTTACACCTGAAATATTGATATGCATGTCACGTTACCAGTGGCAATTAAGATTGTTTATCAGGCTCGAATTATCCGTGTTACAAAAATGGGCATTGTATCCAGATTTAGTGCTGATTATTGTGGTCTAATAACTTATCTAAATGTCATAGGTATAGAGAATATATACCAGAAAATATTAGGTATAAAGTATTCGATTCTGGCTGTCTAGTCAATGATCAATAGGATTTGTTATGAATTGCTCAGCATAGATATTTGGGAAGGTGAACAATTTCATGATAATTGTCACCAATACATACAAGTAAAAGGATCTGACAATTTTAGACATTGTCCCGTGTAAATACAATAGTTTTCACACGAAAATTAAAGTGAATAGTTTACTGAGCTTTTGTCGTAGCGCGATCTCTGTTTTCCTGAGACTCAAAATTGCAGATTTTCCACTGAATATGATTCGTCATGGTTAACCGTTCGTGTGCATGTGTTATATTCTGGACATTGTAAGCCTATTCATCCATCTGAAAAAGTTAATAAAAGTGACATTAAGTTTGACTCGTTACCTTCTTAGTATATTTATGGTAACTCGAACACAAGGAGAATGGCTCTGCAATTCACTCACAGTGGAGACAAAACGATGGGTGGAATACTTCGAGGAACAATTCAACTGGATCTCCAACTACTCTTCCGTTGTCTACTATCCAGCAGGACCATGAATGGAATACCAAGGTAAAACCCCCAACATTTATGGAAGTCGAGAAAGCTGTAGCTAATCCGAAATGAGAAACACCATCGAGATAGGATAGACTGGCATCGAAGGTATTTGAGGAAGGTAATCACCAATTATCGGTCACGTTAACTGATGTTAGCTACTGTATAGAAGTTAGGTGTGACCCTCTCTGACTGGTCTCAATCACTGATTGTCACAGCCTTCAGGAAAAGTGAAAAGCCCTCCTATGATAACCACAGGGGAATCAGCCTGACAAACAAAGTGTCTAAGATTCTAGGTTCGGTGATTATTAGATGACTTAGTGGAGCACAGGGACAACAAATCCGAGTAGACCAGGACGGTTTTAGATTTGGACGTGGGTGTATCGACCAGATACGTACCCTCCGCCAGGTTCTAGAAGACTGGCATATTTACCGATGCCCGAAACAACCTATATTTCTTGACCTGAAAATGGCTTCCGACTTCGTCGATCGAGATGTCACATAGCAGTTCCTCTCACTGAAAGGAGTGACGAGTAACTACAACACTGTACTCGAAAAGCCATGGACATTTCAGAGCATATGGTGAGTTGTACATGTTGAGTGTTGTCTATCAAAGGATGTCCAGTCTCTCTATTCATATTCAACTCTATCACAGACATTCTTATGGTCTCCCACTTTCTGTCTGATTTCACAGAGATTCATCTTATCATAAAAGCATCTTTAGTAGACCTAGAGTACTCAGATAAAATGATCCTGTAATGTGAAGACCCTGAGAAGATACATAGTCTTCTGGAGACCTAGAATAGCTATTTGAGAATGTTTGGGATGTGTTTCTCGCCACCCAAAAGTGAATTTTCACTTCAGAAGTGGTCTGCGGTGCTGCATTGTCTAGCATTAGTGAGTGGAGTGGTTGAGTGCGTTGACAACTTCACTCAAGTCAATGGTCAATTTTATTATGCTTCATAGTAGAGCTGGGATATTGTCTGAGCCACCGTACCCAAACAGTGTCCAGGTTTTTGACTTGGAGTCCAGTTTATAAGACTGTGTACCAGGTAAGTGCCAACATTGCCAACTTCATAGAGTAGGGGAAACAGTTTCGAAGACTTAAAAAGAGTGAACTGTTTATTTGTTACAAGAACTCATGTTACTGATAATTTTTGCCGTTTTCGGTCTAAAGAGCAATACTATATGATATGAGAACGGTCTCAATTACTCTTAATCCTTTTGATATCAGCAGTTGTGTGCTAGGTGCTGTTATCACGCCTGAATACTACAAGACGTAGCGACGGTAAAGTAAATATGCAGATATTTATTCTAGCTTAAAAGTACAGGTCAGATTATGAAGGGAAAGTTCTGGTAATATGAATATCTCAATACTGCATTACCATACCTTGTGGTCAACTTTGTACGCTTTTTGTATTCTTAGTTTATTTAATTTCACAATCAACATGTGAACACATGGCTAGCAAGATTTTCTCATTTGTGTATATTAGAAAACAATAAGACATTTTTATATTATCTATGATCCTATATCAGTATACTTTTTAAAATGCTCCTTACTGTTGACATAAAACGCTAATGTTTGTACATTAGCAGCAGAGAATCAACTGCTCAACAATCTAAGCTGTCTAGTAACACCCACTGGGACACGAGTTCGAGCATTTTCCATCTCATTGGGTTTGTGCAACTGGTGTCTATCATGACTTCACTTACACTTCTATTAAATATAATTTAAAAACTACTACGATGAGTCTTAGTGTGCATGAGTAGTACAATCGCTATTACTATTATTATATATTGTCAACACTTCCTACTTTCACTGGACTTTGAGCCAGATAAATGTAAAATGGAACGGTTTACTTCGAAAGCTGCTACCCTAGTGATATTTTCAAATCGTTAAGACATTTGTTGGCACACTTCCACTATACCGAGTTTTCCTTGTAGAGGGTTTTGAAAATTCGTTTCTTGTGAGTACCCTGTCATTTGACGGAGGGATTTAAAGTGACAACTTCACCGACTAAAACCTAGTCATTTTCTCTGTTCTGTCTAGTTCCCGTAGTTTAACAACAGTCAGCAATTTATTTTGTATTGACATGGATTATTTCTGTGCATATTACGTCGACCCCTTAGTTACCTTCAAAATTTCAGACTGGTGTATAAAACGATATTCACTATATGCTCATCTGCAAAAAATCTAATGGGTGCCAATCAGTTCGTTTAGTTCAATTGCAGAGAATGTCTTAATTACTGAAGCTGTTTGGTATATCATTTTAAGTGGTGAGGTAGAAGTAGTAGAAACACTTTGTAGTTTTAGGATTTTTTATAGACATCCACGAACTTTCATTTCGCTAGTATCAGAAATGCAGTTCGACATTAATGTTCAACTTGATTGATACAGCAGTGAAGTGTAAGTATCAAACTCAGTAGATTGTCCGACTGTCAATATTTTGACAATAAAATTCATGCCTAATCTAACAGTTATATCCTAGTTGAAATGAGATTCATAGTGCGAAACAAAAAGTCAGAAACCATGTATAGGTGATCCATCCTAAAGTCTCATTCGTATGGAGGCATATTACCTATATCTAAGTACTAATGAGAACACGTGAATGGCATGTAATCCAGTGTCTCTGAGAAAAGTAATTAGAGTTAGCATTCAATCAGTGAGTTTTCTGAAGCAGGGAAAGATAAGCATCGGAAGAAAATACAGAAGACAAACAAAACAGCAGCACAAACTGAGGAACTATTCATCTAGAATGTAGAATTTGTTAACTCCGTCGAGTTTTAGGTTTGAATATTTCATCAGTGGTCAGTATTATTATTGAATTAATAGTTCTATCAGTCTTCACCAGTCTTTTCATCTTTCCTATTAGCTATTACCACAACTGTAAAATATACTGAATGACGACTTATCAGTAAAATGCAAACATGTGCTGTAGGTAGTAAGCAACATTTATTGTGCTACAAAAGAAAGTACTGTCTAGGTATGACCCACTGATCGAAGTTTTAACCACATACGACAACATCCATTCATTCTCACCGAAACTATTTATACTTCTGAAAACCGTTAGTTATACGGTGACATAAGATTCCTGTCATCAAATTACGACATTCACAATTGTTCAGCGTAATCATTTCTCCGAAACTTAAACCTTAGAGATGTCGATGTAAGCTTTTTTCCAGTTCGTAACACGCCTTAACTTTGTTGCTAATTCTTTTCAGAATCCGATGAGGGTTACGACGGCAGTGAAGAACAAGACAGAAGTAAACTGAAGACGATACTTTTCGATGATACCAATTTTTCTACTGTCAAACTTACAAAAGGACATTCCAAAACATCGGATTCGGCAGTATTGGATCATAGGACATGGACAAAAATAAACCGATTGAATGGGATTCATGTTCGTATTCTGGACAGTACTAACATCGAAAAAAAAGCTCGCCAAGCATGTGACAGTTTTAGGCGAGATCATTTATTTTCTTCTTCATACTCTGGAAGGTACGGTAATGTAAAAAGAATTGCACCGAATTTATTGAAAAACTTATCAAGGAAAAAGAAAGCTTTGACTGGAGTGCGATAGCTATTAGACTGAAAATCCTGTAAATATTATTTCTGTTGTATTCTCAACTTCTTGCCTTAACTGATTTGGATAATAGTGATTTGCTTTTCATCTGTGCATTGACACTATAAACGCACCAACATCTGAAGGCAAATTAAGTTTCAGTTTTACCGAAGAAATTTGTTGTAGTTCATACTATTGAAACCATCCACACCATTTTAGCAATTTGGAGGTACAGAAATGAGAACTGCTGCAGAGCCCCTAAAATTTGCTTTAACAGTAATCCAGTTTCTGTGTGGATTGTTTTACCGCGGCTACTTTGTAATAAGAATTTCGCAGCTAATGTAGATGCCGAACTTCTCTCGATCATATTATAAATATGATTTTCCATGAATGCATTCCAAAATGACCGAAAGAAGTTCGGCAACTACATTAGCTGCAAGATTCTTACTATAAAGCAGCGGCGGTAAAACAATCCACACAGAAACTGGATTACTGTTAAAGCAAATTTTGGGGGCTCTGCAGCAGTTCTCATTTCTGTACCTCCAAACTGCTAAAATGGTGTGGATGGTTTCAGTAGCATGAACTGCAGTTCAGCTGAATGTTATGAATTTATTGCGTCAACACTTGCGTCTCATGTGCACAGTATTCGCATATCTTGTATGTTTTTAAGATAAACTGTTAGCTTGAGGATAAATACGTTCTTTTAAGAAGACATTTAGAGTTACTGTTCTTGTAACGAATAGTTCTTTGTGAACAAAATAATTGTACACTTAAGATACAGCATCGTGGCTTATCAATTACAAGCAGTTTGAAATGAGTCAACAAAACCGAAAAAGTAATCAGCTGAAGTGGGCTTGTGGTCTAATTGAATAAGAATACCGATATTCATACCTATTGCGGAAAGATGCAGTCCACTGTCAAGCGTTTAAGATTGCATTCAGGGTCATTTTAATAAGCCTTTCACTTAGCAATGAGTTTGAATCACCTTTGTTAGGGACGACAAACTTCAGCATTACTTCCATGATTTCGTTGCTGGATACCAACAGTTGCTTGGGTATGGTAAAATTATGAGCTAATACTCTCGTTTTACTACTGTTTACTCCGTAGCTTGAGTTGAAAATCACTGGATTTCGGTATCCAAAAGAAGCTTCTATACCGAAAGTGAATATTTTTCGGAGCCAATAGTCAGAAGCTATGAAGAACTCTATCGTACAACGATAGGAGTGCGTTTGGGTAGCCTGTATATTGTCACAGAGTAAACCGATACAGTCCACATACTGGAGGTTAAAAAGTCATTTCGTAACTGGTACTTCCAAAATGTCTCCGATAGCAGGATTCAAGTGTAGTAAAATCCCATAGCCCAGCCTAACACAACTGTTGGATTGCGACATTGAAAATAACTCATTTATGTCTCCTTAAACCGGTGCAGTTTTACGCACTGGGCTATAAACCAACTTTACTGTTACGTAGCCATGACACTACCAGGGTGTCCAAACTTAAGGTGGATCGAGTGCTGAGGTCTGATCTAATCGTCCATAAGACGCTTCTAAGCCGATCAACCACATCTCAGTGTCCCTTAGCTACGTCCGAACTCAAGGCATGTTGACTGAAATTAAAATCAGTCCCGCTTTTTTGGAGACAAAGTTAAGCAATGCTAGTTTCCTAAAAATAAACATTTTCATACTCTTGTGTCGACATAATTAGGTTATTAGAAGATAATGTCACAGTTTGGAGAAACGTCACTTATGAGCTAATCTACACATTGGTGTTCAATCTGTGCATCGCACAAACTCATCTACTTTTTGCAGTATTGGGCGATTCCCAGCCACCTTTGTACTACTGATTTGTGAAGCCAGTTTTTAAGCTGTTTGAAGTATAAACCGATCGGGTAGACTCTACACTGAATACTACTAAATATCTAGCCAACACGTTTTCCTTGTCACTATCACCTCACCGAGTGGTCCCTACTTGTCCAAGGAATGTAGGCAAACCGCGGTAGGCATAACTCCTAAAAATTCTCATTGAACAACAGCCTTTTTGTGTTTTACCGCAACCTAAAAAACAAGTATTGACGCATATATGGGACCGGTGAATTGCGGAAATACACCCATTCGCAGTTACTAGTACTCCTCTTCACTTCAAACGTACCAAGGTTATTAACAAGACTAGTACTTTGCACTGCATCGCAGCAGACCACGAATTTCAATTGTTAAAGGAAGACAATATTTTCACTGAATGAGCGGTTAGCTTACTAGAGAGTAACAAAGCAGCCTGGTGAGTTTAATCAGAATGCCTGAGTTTGGTGATAGAACTAACTGCAGACATTTTGAGTTGTTGAAAAACTTAGTGGCTAGAGTATTTCGTGCGAGGGGATAAGGAATAAAGTAAAACTAAAGGATATTCGACCAGAAAATAGTTTAATTGTCAGTGCAAATTAATACGCCATATGTTAGTAAAATATGAATTTTACTCCAGAAATAATCCTCAAAAGCCTGACTAGAGAAACTGACGCAATCACCTCACAAATTGTATCAGTTCAATTGCCTACACTTCACAGCACCATGCTACTCAAGGAAACTGAAGTGTACGGTAGAGAAGAAAAGAAATAAATAAAGGTTGGTGAAAAGATTCAAGGTTTCAAACAGTAAATACATCTGCGCTATTGGAACCGAATTTCAACCATGTCATCAAGTCTCCAATTATAAATTCCTATTATCTCTAGAGGTCCCAACCCAGTAATCTACACTTCCATACAGAGCTCAGATCAACAAACAAAGGCTTCTTGGTATGATGCCACGTCTTGGTCTGACCACCCTGAGCCCTCTCACAACCTAAACCTACTTCAGATAACATCGCAATCCAGGTAAACTGTGGTCAGAAACCTGTAATCTATTCATGCCTTCTACTTTCAGAGGCCAAGTCTCATAGACATGTAACAGGACAGAAAGGAATGCAGTGCAATGTACTTGTCCTTTAATAGGTGGTGGGACTTCTCACAGGCGTCGTGAATGGCGCGAGTTGAAGAATGTCAAATGTGCCTTTTGTATCCGAGTTGAGATTTCGTCACCTACCAGTTCATTCGGGCTGATGTGATCGACACACTCAACCACGCCACTCCCTATTCTTAAATTATGACCCCAATCAGACCCCTCTTGAAGCATCATCTTACACTTCACTTGTTCTAAAACCTATAGAAGAATGGACAGATAGGCAAACAGACAAGTTTGACGTGGAACTTCGCACACAAGTGCGTTGGCTCAAGTTGTCACACTTCATAGTAGTATAGGAAGAACTAGAGGGTACAAAAAGTGATATCAAAGTAGACAAAGTTGTGTGAGAGAAGAATAAACAATCTGAAGACAAAGGTGAGTGGGAATACTCAAGTTTTAGAAGACGTCAAAGAGTGAATCCATTCGTGCCACTAAGATCGATTTTCAGCCGTCACCAACAGCCCTCAACCACTGATTACTATCGTTTCGAAGACCCCAGCTAGGCAGTCCACATCTCCCACACAGCACAGACCGATGGTCAGAGACTTTATCGACTGATCCCACCGCCCTGAACCCTCTTCTAACCCAATCCAACTATCTCTAGCATGGCACGTCGATGTAGGCAGTGGATCGGCATGCGCAACACATAACCAAGCCACCTCAGCCGATGAAGGCTCACAATCCCATCGACCGACTTGCCAGCGTGTTTTGCCTGACCTTAACATTGCTCACACGGTGATTCCATTGGGCGTGAGAAACCTATGGTCAAAACCCTCTAACCGCCTCACGTTTTCATTTCTCCTTTCAAAGAAGAGTGGAGATTCGATGGATGCACTCTTGTCCAAGACTGCAACTCGACCGGCTTCTTAGAGTGTTGTTATCAAGCTCCAACTTGGAGTCGTGTAACTACGATCCCTAGGATCTTAGAATCAAAGATAATTAAACTGATACTCCTATGGTCGTCACAAAAGGACTTCTTTACTTTCTTAAAAACTGGAATAATTAACTGTCTTGACTAGTTTGGTGAGAATACTTCTGACTTCCACACACTGGCTAGTACCTGTTGAAGGATCAACATCTACGTCCCATTCAGGTTGGGTGATCGGCAACAGAAACGTGGTTGTAGGTCAGTTGGATGATTCTCCAAAGAGTTCTGCCCAACGTTACAAGGAAACCCATTCTTTTCAGTGATTATCTCTCTAGACATCGTCTTTTTATTGACAGTATCTTTAATTGCCTAGTTCTGATGACTCCTCTGAGTCTTTCACTTTCGCCAACCACCACTGCTCGCAGTCACCTGGAAACCATTCACAAACATCCTTTTCCACAAGTTCGAATTGGGATTTGACTGTCATATGGTGTGACAAGCAACGCCCATATCCCCGGCATCGGAATACCATAGGGCTACAGTGTTATTTTGGGGGCAGATCGTTCAAACTTTGTCCCGTTCCAACAGGGAAAGGAGAATAATCATAGACCGTTGGTCACCCGCGCTAAACACCTCATCCAGCAAGCACTACCACTTTTTCCTGTAACCACCATTATAGCAAAGATATTTGCACTGTAAGTTTATCCTTTTTCTTCCCTCTACTCAACTGACCTTCATGGCATGACAGGACCTCAAAGTACCAATTTTCCCACTAGCATAGCTTGTTGGGTTATCGCGATATGCAAACGCAACCACCAAGTCATGGTAGTAGATATGGGACAATCAGTGTAACTTAAATGCATAGGAGTCCTGAAGTTCTAAGACTTCGCATGAGGATTTTCAATGAGCTTTGGTTGACGGCAGTTTGCCAATGCTTTCTGTTAACTCATTAAACCGCTCAAGCTGTTATCGTGATAAGTTAGCATTTCTTATTACTACGACCAGGATGTTTACATACCAAAAATCAAAATATTCAAGGTTTACTATATTCCCATTTCAACTGTTTAGTCAAGAGGCCGGATAGAATGGTTTTTCCAGAATATTCATTGATCTGTTCACCCTGCTAACTCTGTTGTTGCGAACAAGTTTGTATTGTCTTTGATGAATAATTATAAACTAGAATCTTAACTCAGTTTGGAAGTAAAACGAATGGACGGTCACAATTTTCAGGTGAAAATATATTTGTGCACATTACACTTTGATGCGGAAAAGTCGTGTTACGTACCACCATTTTGTATATTACGACGAAAAAGGATGAAAGAATAAATCGTTACACAAAAATGGGTTTCAAACGCAGTATCCCTCTATTTGACCGTTTAGCATAAACAGTACTGGTTCTAAAACTCCGTTACAGTTTATAGTAATTTAATAATATAGAGAGTAGATCATACACAGAAAATTCTTAAAAGCTGTTTTTTGCTCACTATGCCTTCATTTATTATATTAGATTACTTTATCTGGTATAGCACAATAGATATACTGTAACGCTTTAAGCAAAGTTGTTAAACACCGCATCAAACAACGTTTAGATCTCACAGACAGGTTGATTTACTTCAATTTTGTACCCACAAGTGTAGTTGCTTTTAAAAAGCTAGTTCTACGGTTCTTTGCTAAATGCCTTTGAGGATAATTTTTGAGTGTGAGTGAATCAATTGTTAGGTAGTTAGTGCTGGGAACGTAGCTCCGTAATGAATATCTTTCAAGATAACTGACAAAGTCACAAATACATCGAAAGGCTTACGGTTTCAAAGCTAATGCACGAAAGGCATCAGCTGACTAGTTAAAGCGTCATTCCTGAGATGGGATGCTTAAGATCTCTGTTTCTATCTTTGTCTTACTCATTCCACTATTATCATTAATCACTTCGTCATTAACATTTTCATCATGCTCTTTCTTACACTTTTTCACCTACCAAGTATGTACTTAATTGTCACACTTGCCATCTAGAAATATCCTGTACTTTTATTTATTACTTATCCCTTTATATGTCATTAGGCGATTTTTTTTCATCCACACTCAAATCTTTGCCTACCTTTAGTATTTCGATGATATATCTGAACGTATTATTCGGCAATAGATTGTTGCCCGATACCAGTGACTATATAAATACGACTCTACAGAACTAGTAAATGATATCATCGAGAAGGGAAGTTTTCGCTGAAATATCTCCCAAATGATAAAACAGACAATTAAATCTCTTCTCTCTTACTTTTTACGAATTGTGGTAACAGTATATTCACTTATTTGACACTACTGCGAAATGATGTGAAGTGCAGCAACTTGAATCGATATGCAATGTCTTATGTTGCTTAACATTACGCCATTACGTTAACAGACAGATAAACTTTGGAGAGAAAAAAAGTACGGGTCTATCGTGATATGTCCTGCAGCATAACCGAGAAATAAAATTCGCAAAAGCAAAGATACATAGAAATAACACGATAAATCATCAGTGACTTCAGGTATTGTTCCACTTACCCTTACGTTTCTTACAACTCAATATTTGCATGATGATAGTTAAGCGCTAGTAATTAAATTCAGGAGAATCGTAAGTCATATCAAATTGATCTCATTCATGGTGTCATTGCATTTTTCAGAAAGTATATGCATGACAATGTCACATAAGAAACAGCTTCACCATGATATATATTTAGATACAAAATCTTTAATTTTGGTGTGTCAAGTAGTAAAAACAGCATTAAGTAAGTCTACGGACTTCACCGTTAGTTAGAAATTACAAAAGGCAGTTAATTTTTCAACTCATTAATTGAAGTTAGGTTCCTTAAACCATATTGTGACTAAAAAGTTTCTTTCAACCACTCATCCGAGAGTTCTTCTGGATCCCTTAATTCCAACACCTGTAACAATACGGTTATACATACTGTATGCTGAAAACAATGCTTACCTTTGTAACTTCACTCTTATTGGTTACAGTGGTAAGACTAGCAGCATACAGCATCTTCAAGTTTGTAGGAGAACCTAAAAGTGAAAAATACGTTACTGGAACCTAAAATAATAATATGGATTGTTGTTACATCCCTACAAATGAACTACGTATAATCAAGTGTTCGCTAAAGCACTGCTATCTGAAATACCTTATCAGTGATATCAACCACAAAACCGAAGCTCGACAACTGAGTTAGATTTTAAAACAGTAAACCATTGGTTGAGAATTCAGTCGAGAGGATGTTGGGCACTTGCCTACAGTGTAACAAGCAGAAACACTAACCACATGCTAACATCTTTATCATTTCATATTAGATTTGTTTATTTGATATAAAGCGCACAGTGATACAGCATTATTTACTCGATTACGTTTCGAGCATAAATTATTGCTCATAATCATATTAATGTGATATATGATTATGAGCAATAATTTATGCTCGAAACGTAATCAAGTAAATAATACTGTATCACTGTGCACTTCATATCAAATAAACAAATCTAATATGGAATTACATTCTACCATAGTGCCCAAGTTTTTCACTTATCTTTATCATTTCCCGATACAGGATTTTGTAAACATGATGATTTCACTTTCTTGTGATAGGTGTGTGTTTACTTGAGCACCCTTAGGTCTAATAATCTAAACTACTCAACGTACGGGCCTAAATAGTCTACAGACATTATTTGACACTTAAATTCATCACCATACCTTGTGGAGTTGAAAACAGTAAACAGTAGGGGAACGACACTCGTCCATCTTCTTTTTCATAACGATAACTTAGAAGGATATACCTCGGTTGGTGAGATGGTAAACAGTCTTTGAGATTTTCCACAGTAGTATCCTGAATGCAAAAACCGATCAGAAAATTTGAATCATCCAACTTCAAGTATTGATTCTATTTCAAGCGTCAAACTCTCCTTGTCAATTTTCACTGCAATAGAATGGATATTAATCAATATATGATCGAAAAACTACGTATAAGGGCAACTGTATTGTTGCATTTTCGAAACTTGAACTTTTTTAAGCTTTCCACAGTATCTTGAGATATATCTGCACAACACAGCTCGGACTGAATCAAAATATTTCACTCTTTTGTGATTATAAATTACCATTGCCAGTTTCCTGAAACCAAATAAACAATAATGTATGACATTAATGAATCTCAGTTATCCCGAGATCTCGTTCATCACACTATGCAGATCTATTGTGTGAGAAGTAACGACGTTGCCTGGAACTCCATAGCCGTAATAAGATTCGAACTTGATCTGCTGATTGAAAGAGTACCGAAACCAACGGACCTAAACTTTAATGTAATGCCGATAAAGATTACCTAAGGGTTCCGCAAACTCACTTCATTTACGGCATCACCACGATATCCAATTGCCTATCAAGGGTAGTTTACTGCGCTGAAGTTCGCTTTGTCTTACTTCATGGCTGTGAAACATGACCATTAAAGGTAGAGAACATGAGGAGGATGCAGGTATTTGAACGCCGTTGACTTTGCAGCATGGGCCGTGTGTTGTCGTCTTCAAGTTAGTAATGTAGAAGGCAGGTATACAGCTTGGGGCTGAAGAAAGTCAGTTGGTGAATTCGTGAACCTCCAACGACTCAGATGCATGGGTTACGTATGGCTACTCACCATCTGCCTTATCACACAATGCTAGCCGAAGTATGTTCAAGTTGCAAAGATGTTGCAGGCGACCAGAGGAAAATATGTTATCAGTCCCTTGAGTGTTGATCTGAGCCATGCAAGGAAATATAGACTTCGGGGTTGGGGGGTCATGTCGTTTGGTTGGAGACTCTAGGCGATAAGCCTCAGAATTGACCTTATTAGCGCAGTTACATACACACAATATTCTTATATCAATTGTAATACTGAATTTCGGAAACCTCTCACTCTCCCTTGCTCTCTCTCTCTTGATGACATTCTACAACTTCTGACTGTTTTCTCCTTTGTTTTTTTCATTTTGATGCCATCAACCCTGATGTCTGGCAACTTGGAGCTGTGGCTCATTGGTTTGAGGAGATGACTTCCAACCAGTGGGTCACAGGTTTGAACACTACCCCAACTAGAGGTTTAGGCAGGCAGTTAAGTATCATTAGCCCTCACACAACAGGTGTGGCTTGTCCTACTGCGCGAATGTGCAACAGGTTCCCGGGTACATTTCGACTTCACATTTGAACTTGAACCGTTACGAAGAAATCCCGGGTTTCACGTTAATAGTGACTGACAGGCTACTTCTTTTCATAACACTGTAACGTAGTTTAGATGTCATGTTATATATATATGCCACGAATAACTGCACTTGAATCTTAGTTCTCTCTACACTCAGCCAAACTACATATAAATAAACATAAAAACTGAGTCGTTGTTGTGATGATGTAGGAAGGTTTCTTTTGTCACTTGACTCGCTAAATACTTAGGTACTCATTTTTTCTCTGAGACCATTCAGTTTAGTAATATGAAGTAATTCGACCTCCCAATTAGACCATGGAGAGGTTCAGTTGGGGATACAAGTCAGATGGTAAGACTGCCAATCTGTATCGAATGAGGTTTTAAAAGTATGCGGAAAAGTCCCCTGGTCTGATGTCAACTTGGAAATATTTCACGATGGTCAGATTTGTAAATGAAACTAATCTTTTAAATCAATTAGTGTTGTTCCTAGCTGTTTACAAGAGCATAAACTTCCAGTGAGATATAGGCTACACCCTAACAAGTGATGGTATTGATAATCATGTTATGAAAACGCGAATGAACCTTCATATTATTCTAAAATGCCTAATTTCACACGCCTTAAACACCTCATTTATTTTATGATTAACCTCTTTTCTCAATATATTAGTGTCCTTTTGCTGTACACTGTTGAGAAATGTACGCTAATAATTAATGTAACTCAGCCATGTACATTTTTATTTGCTAGGGTATGCCACACTTACAGCTTTCGATGTTACTCCCCTGCACATGGGGAATTAGGTGGAGCGCTCTCTGAACTTGAAGTCCAAGGCTTGAAAGTTGAGTAGTTTCGCAAATGAAGTACAATTGCACGACAAATGTGTTAAGCTGGGAGAGTAGCACGACCGAGTTTATGACGTTTCCAAGTCAGTCAAATTCAACCTTGCTCAAAACTGCCTGGCACCAATGAGTATGTCTGTATTCCATAGTCCGACCAAGGGTGAAGATTTGGTCGACGCTCACTCGGCCAAGTCTGAAGCATGGCTGGCCTTCTCAAGCCCCCGTTAGGCTTCGGATAACTACCGACCCTGAGATCTTCGATATGATATCCAGCAAATTGATTCCCCTATGGTTATCACAAGAACTTTTCTCCCTTCCTATAAATTGGGATGATTAGTGAAGACCAGTCTGACAGGAACATCTTCCCCATACACTACATAATACTTTCAACACTACTCAGTAATTCGTTGCGTCCCTCCTTAGAAACTTCTGGTGGCAAACCGTTAGGTTCGTCTCGTTTCAGGTTAAAAACAGCCTTGAAGAGTGAACATTTATCTCCCATTGAGGGGACAACTGAAGCGTTGCTGTGAACCAGTTGAACTGTGCCTCAACAGGTTCTGCTCGAAGTTCTGGTCACCTGTTGTGAGGGGTCATCAGAGTCCCATCCATTTCAGTGATTTTCGCACTAACCATCGCTTTTTTACAGTGTTTCTAATAAGTAGATTTACCACATAATTTCTCTTAGTCTGCAAACTTAAACTGCAGGCAGTAAAGTAAACGTAAAGAAAATACAGTCAGCTCACCACATGCATACATTGAGCTCTAGAAACCACATACATCTAAAGCTCTTTGTTTGCATTTACACACGAAATTCCCTAGCATTTACTTTACATGTTTAGAAAAACCAGGCGCATACAGAGCTTATTAAGAACCAGGGAGCATCTGTGGGGTTTGTTAATAGCAGACAATATCATTATAGGACCTAGCATTATTGCATAACGGTCCAAGTTGCCACACCTCATCACTACATCAAAGTAGATGGCAACAAAATGAAATAAATAAAGAAAACAGTGGTAGAAAGTCATCAAGAGAGAGCAAGGAATAGTGAAGGGTTACCCCAGTTCAGTAAGAAGACTGGTATGAGGATATTGTGTGGAGGCAACTGTGCCAATGAGGATGATTCTGAGCCATATCATCTCGATTCTCCAACTATCTAACTCGGTTTTGATGAACAGCGACGGGAGGGGAGGTATTTAAGTCATGACTCGATAAAGCTAAGTGTGTTAAATGATTACTGATGGACGCTGCACACAGCATGAAGGACAGTAACTAAATAACTTTATAAGCTACACTAAAAGACTGGTCATATTAGACGCAGAACTAGTAGATATGATGGAATCCCCAACGTACTTACACATGGAAAATCAGAGAGGTTGATGGAATCGACTAAGGCTGAAAATTTCTCAAACTACTTTGTCGATGCTGCTCGGCTGATATAAACACTGTGGTTAATACTACTATGGCTGAAGCCCGTACCATGACGTCTATCTTGATTGAAAGAGAGGAGGCACCCCGACTAATTAAAAGCATGCATTGTCACCTGGTTATTTTAATTTACATTCTAGGTCGTCAGAATCAACTGCTGATATTATTGATTAACCACTAAAGGAAACATTTAACATTCCCATCTCAGTTTCGATTACTTAGGATCAAGAAAAACGCTATTTGCTCTATTTTAAAGATAGTTACGGGCAATTGTTAAATAATTATTGTCCTACTATTTTCACTATCATAGTTGTTAAAGTATAAAAAAACAATCGGGTTGAGCAATAAACTCTTGCAAGAATGTATGGCCTACTGGTACAGAATCCGTACGGCTTTAAGATCGAACGACCTTATTTAGTGAATCTTTCAGTGGGTGAGTGACTACAGACTACAGACCGTATACTATCAGTCGATATTTGATCTTATCAAAGCCCTTCACAGTCCGGCTGGCTGGTTTAGAAACATACAGTAAGCAAGGATTACTCGAGAGACACGAAGCAAGAAGTCAGGATTGAAAAGGGGGTAACTACTCGAGTGAAAACTGTTTAATAGCTGAATTCCTTAGGGTAGCACACTAGGACCTCTACTACTTTCCCCTACGTTAAAGAAATCTTGAAGTCATTGTTCTTACTACTTACTGATATTACGATATGGAGGTTTGTTCGTAATAAAAAAGATGGAGCAGCGCTTCAAACTGACCTGCATGAATAGTCTGAGCAGTCTGATAGTTGTAGTATAAGGATTACTGCCGAGAGCGAAGCAATGAACACTGGCGAAGAAGAATATCAATACTTTAGGGCAGCTCGCCATTGCTTTGCATGAGAACAAACGAACCAAAGACACTGTTTTCTGCAACCAATGACCCGGGACACAAAGAGCTGTAATAGATTGGTTGACAAATTTCCTGCTGATTTCCAACTGGCTCTGACTTTAGAATGATAACACACTGTAGTCTGACTTCAGCTAACATTTCAGATGCTTCGAATGCTTGAGAAGACACTTAAGTGTTTTGAAGAGAGTAGGTTTAGAAACCTATAACCTACCGACTGAATACTTAAGTTGCAATCATGGATATAGTTGGCAAGCTTCTGCTTTAGGAAAAAAGTTAGCACGCTAGAAGATGCCCATATACTTGGCTCCAAATAGGTGACAAAAATTAACAATGAAGAGCAACAAGTACGAGCAGGCCTTGCTTCTGCTAGTGGAAAAAAGTGGTCTTACTTTGACGTAGTGTCTTAAATAGCTTATACTTCGGAAGTCTAAACAGCATTTTGCAATCCTATGATCTTTAGCTGTGCGTAAAAAGACAAAATATTGAACTAATGCATGTTTACGTTTCTCTGAATGAACCTTGAGAATTGACGTTTTTTTACAAGGTTATTCTAAAAAATGATAGTAAGTAATACAACTGGTACATAATGAATTACTGAGAAAAATAAAGAGTTCTCTTTGCTCATCTAGAAGTTATCAGAATTTTCTTGCAAGACTCATATCAAAACTATAGTGACTATAATCATGCAAATAAAAGAAACCTGGTTCCTAGCTCTGTCTATCTGTGCAGACGAATCGGTACTTTGTCAACAAAATGGATCCAATGGCGTCACAGTACTGCCCCAGCCAGTACTTACTTTGGGGGACTACGTTTTTGGTAAAATACCCTCTAGAAACCCCCCGATGAGATGGTCAAACCATTTTCCAGACGTTGTTAAAAGTCCGGAAGTGCGCCAGAAATTTTCAATAAAAGTTCCCAAGTGCACAGACATGCCCCCAACAAGATTACATGGTGATAAAAAGGCGATTTCCGGAAAGGCTAGAGAAATCCCATAAACCCATGAAATGTAGGAAAATCTTCGGGACTACATGTAATTCTAGGTGTACAATTTGTTTTTGCAAAATCAAGTTCATTCGGGTACCTACATTACAGCTGCAGTATACAACAGAATAACCTCGC